CTAATATAGAGAGTTTGATCTGGAATTCTGAGGTAGTGGGATATGTGTTTGGTGATTCCTGGTTCTATTGAAGCCTTGCTACAATGGTGGGCAAGTGTTACTTTTAAGAAGGAATTGAGTATTTGGAAGATTGTGCCATTATTATTACTGTGGTCAATTTGGAAATTGAGGAATGATATTATGTTCAATGGAGATCATCCGACTTGGAGGACATTGTGAAAAGAAGGATAGCTTTTTCGGCTAAGAGTAGTCTAGTAGGATTGTATTACTCAATGCATGACTTTGTTTTCAATCTTAAACATGTCAGATTTTGTTTGGGAGGGAGTGGCTAGGTGCATGGTTTCTTGAATTAGTTTTGTCTGTTTTTTTTAACTATTTGGTTTGGTTGGTCACTAATTTGGTGGTGTGTTAACATATGATTGTGCTTACTTTGTGGTGTCAACATAGTTGAGATTGTAAAGTTTAGCTATGATGCTATTTGCGTTCACTTTCTTCATCAATAAAATTTCCTTTTATCGATAAAAAAAAATCACGTGGATCTATGACATTATAAGTCCGTAAAATGAATTTATGGATTAAGACCCCAATTCTTTGTTATAAAACACTTTTTTTATATGCTGATGACTTAAAAACATTAATGGCCACATCACTTGATTTTTAATACAATTAATATTTATTATTAGTCTCCTGAAACTATTAATTTAAAACCTTTTTTCAAGTGATTTTCACTACAGGAAAAATGAGTTTTGGCGACGTTTATTTAACGGCGTTTTATTAAACGTCACAGTTTATAATATTTAACGACGTTTCTTAAACGTCGCTGTTTTAAAAAATCAAAACGGCACCGTTTCAAGTGTTTAAAAGCGCCTTCGAATGTCCCCTCTCTCTCCCTTAAATGGCAACCCTCTGAAGCCTTAATCTCTTTCAGTCTCCCGTTCGCTCTCTCTCTTTCTCTAAACCCTCTCAATGGATCGATTCATCTCTCGCTGATTCATCTCAGAATGATACAATATCAGTGATTCATCTTGGCGATTTCGATTTTGATTTTGATTTCGAAGTTCTCTCTCGATTTTGATTTCGAAATTTAATGTTTCGGTGATTCTCTCTCTCAATTTCAAAGTCTATTCAAATCTCGTCTCTCTCAACCCTCTCTAAACCGTTATCATTCTCACAGATTCATCTTTGAGATTCAGAGCGATTTCGATTTCGAAGCTCCACTGCCACCACCATCTGCACCGGCTTGATTTCTCTGATTTCAATTTCATCTGAATCTCTGATTTCGATTTTGATTTTGATTTTGAAGCTCCACTGCCACCACTATCTGCATCGCCACTGCCACCGCCACCACCACCACCATTTGCACTAGCAAGGTATCGATTTCTTGAAACTGGCTTCTCTTCAACACAACAGCACATCATGACTTTTAATTCCTGGTTTTAAATTTTTGTCTTCGGGAAATCACATCTTTATCTGTTGGTCAATCTTCAATTGTTGATTAAATTTCTGAACTTATTAAGAGACCTAAGCTTGAGGCAGGTATCTGTTATGACCCAGAAGATTTCTGAATCCACCGTGATCAGACATACTCTGTCCTTTGTAGTTGCTGAAATCTTATCCATGATTCAGATTTACGCGATTGATTCGAATGAGATGATGGACTTGATCTCCAATCAAAAGATTTAGATCTACATGACCTGAAGAATGAAATCCAGATTTAGATATTCTCCACTACAAATTCCCCTTTTAACTCATTTTACCTCTTGGCTGAAGAATGAAATCCAATTTTGACAAACTAGGAAACCGTATGCACATGGTTGTTACAATGTTAAACATCCTATGGTTACTTATTTAGCTTTCTTTTAACACAATAGAGGTTCCTTTCATTTAAAAAAATAATAAGAAGAATCGTGATGATATTTGATTAGGCGGAATATGGTTACCATGATTTTTAAGCAGATTCTTCAAATTATTAAACAATTTGGCAATTAATACTTATGTTTGAACTTGTTATTTTCTCTGACATAATGTACCAATTTTTCACCAATTTAACTTGTTACTCTGGAGTCTTAGGGGTCACAGAAGTATTTAATCAATAAAAGAGTTCCACTGTTATTTCCTACATTAAATTTTCTTACATTCTTACATGTTTGAAGCACATTCCTCATGATTTTTTTATATTTTCTTCATCTATGACTCTGATATTTTTTCCTCTTACTTGTGAGTTTAGCTGCTGGAAGTACTTTGGAGAAAGCTACAGACTCCACTGGCATTGCCAATAGTGCTTCTTCAGGCCTTACTGGCAACTTTTGAATGGAAAATAGTGTGTGAACTGAGATAAATTTGCATATTACGCAAAAGTGCTTAAGTATTAATTCCTTTTCCTATGTCAAAACCTCTTAGGTAGCCGTTGAAGTGGAGCGAGAAGAAGGTGAATGTGGCACGGCCATAGAAACATTTACTGACTATGTGAGTTTTATGTCTCTTTTAGAATGTCTTAATAGATCTACCTTGGGTTTTAGTTTCGGCCTTGATTATTGGTTTGAACTGATGGAAACTATTGCAGATGACTTTTAATTCTTTTAATTTTTCCTTTTCTAATTTGAGTCCAGCGCGCTCCCGAACTTTTTATTGGCCCTTCCCATCCTGATCCTATTTGATTCAATGAATCTTTATGTAGGAATTGATTGTATCCTATCATTAGTGCACTTGTCAAAGTGAATTTTGTAGTTTGGTATCTTCTTTGTCAATCGTAGTTCCCATTAACTATTTTTTATTTTATTTAACATCCTATTGATTTGTAAAGAACTTCAATTTATGGGAACCCTCTACAAACCCCTTCTTTTTTCGTAATTTTTCTTTTATTGAAAAGGTTTTCTGCACTTTGTATTTGGTTGTGATGCAAGCATAGTATACATTTTTATGTTACTGCAGATGATGGGCCAGGATCACTCCATGAAGGCTGTCACAAAAAAGAACCTCTATGGATTGTCTTTGAAGTTTCAGGAACTATTGGTCTGTCATCTTATCTGAAATCTTTGTATTCAGATGTCACTTTTCAAGGCATGACAAGACAATGCTCATTGGAGCAGACCCGTCTCACACTGGTGACAGATGTATTCAAGTGACCATTTACCATTGTTTTTTTGATGGTACTCGACAGCGGCATCTCATGTCAGGTTTGGGAAAGTACATTTATATAATAATTACACCAGAAACTAGGGCATTTATGCTGTATGTGCCAGTGTAGAATCATAGGTAAAGATGCTTTTAGCTACTGCTTTCTTCATCATATGCCTCATCTTTCTTCTTTTTTGTTGGTTTGAATTTTAAGGTGTTAAAAGATATTATACATGGTTGGCCACTTCTTATGAACATGTTTATGGTTTTTTGGCTTCAGATATATTCACAATGCAATATATATAAAGCAGGACAGAAGAAGGTGGCTTTCAAATATCTAACATATAAGGTAATTTGTTTTATCTTGACATTCTACCAGTGATATCTGAAACTTCATAAGAAGACATTAGTGACTTCAAGAAATTGTTTCTTTAATGGCACAAGTTTCTTTATGTTGCTTCAAGAAACAGTTCGAATGCATGCTTTGGATAGTAAAATTTCATCCCATGATAGGGAACTCCTCACTTTAGGCAGGGAATTTCACTTCTCTTGTTGTATTGGTTGATTCTTAATAATTGGTAAAAAAGAATCGACCAATACAACAAGAGAAGTGAAAGACTTGAAAAGAGTTTGAAAAAATTGATCAAACATACAAAATTGAAGGAAACCAATTTAGGCAAGCTTTTATAATTTAAAAAAAAAAATCAGTAGAAACTAAGGCATTGTGCAACCAAAATATTCCATGACATGTTATATTTCATTAAGGTGATGTGGAATTCTATCAGTGTGATTGATGCATTTGAATATTTATACAATATTTCTATAATTTTTGTTATATGAGACATCTTCTTTATCCGCAGTGCAGCCACCTGAATCAACTTATGATCTTATCATCAAAGATGACCTAGAAAGTTCACAAGCGTTGTCATGCTTGCAGATTGAGACATTAGTTTATGCTTGTCAGGTTGTTTTTACAACTGGACTTTGGATACTAATTTTGTACATCATCATTTATGATATAATGTAGTGGTTTCCATGACAGAGACATGTCCAGCACCTTCCAAATGGTGCTAGGGCAGTTTTTTTATCGGAGATGGAGCTGGTGTGGGCAAAGGACAAACAATTGCAGGGTTGATCTTCGAGAACTGGCACCATGGGAGGAGGAAAGCATTGTAAGATTTTGGGTTGATGTAATCTTCTCATGCATACACATCTGACCATGGTCACATTCTTGATTTAATTGCACCAGTGTTTTAACGTTAATATAATGCTATGTTGGGGGTTTTGTTGATACTTGAATTTTTGGCACATGATGTAGTAACGGCTGGATTGGGGGTTTTGTTGAGTGAAGAAAAAAAATTGAGAGAAAATAAATCTCTCATCACTTGTTGAATGATTAAAGAGATGTGAGAACAATTGAGAAAATGATGAGAAAGAGCAATATTTTAAAATTTAGGTTTTATTGGAACCAAAATTGCTCTTTATAAATTTTTTTACAATTATTCTAATACAAAATAAGTAAAATTTTATGACATGTGTCCTTTTTATTTATTTATTTATATGTTGATAATTAGTGCACTATGCCAAAGTTAGGTGTGACCCAATTTTTCCTATCATGAGCACACACTAATGTATACTAATTATGCCTTATTTTTATTTTTATTTTTATGTTGATAAATCACAATCATTTATTTTCTTTTTTCAAACTCATTTATATGTTATTTTTCACTTCACTATCCAAATGGGACCTAAATGGTGTATTGGTAATTTTGTTATACTAGATAATGAATAATTTTTTGTTTTTTGTTTTTTTTTTTGGTGGATTTGCATTATATAAACCCAGTAGCAATGATTTGGTTTTAAATACTTGTCAGAAACAAAGGAATACATTACTTAACATGGACTAAAGTTTTATCATAGTTTTGTGCTGAATTTTCATGTTTTTTCTTTTTCTAGTTGCTTCAAAGTTATTGTACTCAAAGATTTTGAATTTTGAATTAGGTTATGATGCTACTAGTGCAAAACCATTTTAGGTGGTATTTGATCTCATTTTACTGCTAACCATTGGTTTTTTTAGTTTTGGTTCAAATGAGTCACTTTTAAAAGTTGTGATTGGCTATATGAATGCATTTTTTATGTTTTTACTGTATGTGTTCAGCATCTGAGAATGCTTTCAAAGGAATTCTGACCAGTCTTCCCAAGGCAGGAGGTGGTGAGTTTGGAAAGTTCTATAGCCTACCAGCACTGAATGATCCAAGGATTGGTAATTTTCTTACTATCTTTTTAAGGTTTTGATCAATATAATTTTTTTTTGGTTCCTTTGCTGATATTCACTGCATGAATAAATATAAGTTGCTCATAAAAGGAAAAAAAATTGAAAAAGGGGAAAAGAAAGAAAGAAAGAATAAGTAAATTACCTTTTATTTTAAAGTCAGTTCCCAACTTGCCATGTTGCATAAGATTTTATTTTTATTTGAAATAATTTCTTCTTTCCCTGTTTCATTGTAGTTTTATGTATAATTTTGAGCCATTATTGATATTGTTTTCGGATTCCCAACTAAAATTGATTATATTTATATAATAAGTCATAAGATTTATATAGAGCAATGAAATCTTTAATTAAATATACTTTTTAAGACACTTTCTCACAGTTTCTGAAACTTGAAATGTGTGTTAACGTTAATATGATGCTATGTTGCCTTTTAATCATGTCAAAGTCAAGCTTTTCCTTCATCATCTTCCTTCTTCCAAGTTTTTGAAATCCACCCATTGCCATTCACAATCCTGAAAGGAACACACTTGAGCCTTTTGTTTTCATCTGATGCTTTTTAGTTTTTTGGCTATGGTCTCCCTTATACTTGTATGTTCTAATAAAATAATGTAATGTAAGGATTCTGTCAGCCCATTTAACTGCTTAGACCAACTTCTAATTTTTCATGGGTAGGTTTAATCTACTTCACCTTGCTAAGGTTTTTGAGGGGTTCTTTGTGGTTTTATGTGTTCTGATCGCCTTATCACAGGTTATGCATCTTGATGCTGAGAAAGAAATGATGTCTCAATGTGTTGCCTTGCTTGGGAAATTCATTGCTATTCGTGAGCCAAATATTCGATATCTTGGTTTGGTAAGTTACGGGAACACAACAGTTCTTATCTCATTGATGCAACTTATGTTCAAAGCATGCCAAGTTGTAGTATGCAAATGTCAGAATTTGGAAGGTTTGATCTGGTTGTTTTCATCTGGTTGCATGATTTATGGATTGATCTGATGCAGGAGACCCGGATGTTGATGGCCTTAGATGTTCAGGACATTATTAAAAGGCATCAATCACAGATCATCACCTCCTTGAAGGATCCAGATATCAGGTTAGTTTAAGTGCTTTGTAGTTTTTTGGAGATACTTTCTGCTTCTTCACCACGAGGCACAATGATCGGCTACATGGTAAGCAAAAGCAACATTAAATCTGTATTTAATACTGCACAATGCCTATGCTATCTGCATGAACTTGTTGAGAAATTTATTACTTATCGTAGATGTGTAAAATCAACTTGACTTGTATCATAGATGCTGAGCTGCTAATATCTTTTCCTGGCATTCTAGATTGCACTCTGTAGCTCCAACAATGTAAAATGCTCACCTAAGCAAACAGTGATGCATTAATAGGGCTGCTTTTCATTACTGATTATTAATGATATTTGAGCTTGTAGGCTTAAGTGTTACCCAGTTGGACTCCCAATCTTTATGTCAGGGGCACAAGTCCCCTTGATCCTGCGCATATAAAAAAATATATATATAGTCATTATTCTAAATTCATTCGTAGTGCTAGTATGCTTGTTTATGTACCTATGATTTACTGACAATGATTTAACCCTCATAGTATTCGGAGACGTGCTCTTGATCTGCTCTATGGCATGTGTGATGTTTCAAATGCAAAGGACATAGTTGAAGAATTATTGCAGGTACCATACTGCTGTTCGCAAACAGTTAACTGTCTTTGATTTCAGTTGACATTTACTTAAAATATATATAGTTGGCCGTAAATGATTCTAAAAAAGTTCCTAACCAAAACACAACAAACATTTCACTGACAATTTTTTTTTGAAAGAATGGTGTTTGCCGAATTGGAGAGCATCAGATGGTGCCATCAAT